AGTAATGGTGTTGTAAAACTGACAATAGTACAATTTGGTCAAGAATCAATTTTGTATTTACTTTTACTCTTCCTGTTAAGAAATTCAGTCCTTTAGGCAAGACCTTAAGAGAATGCTCAGATTAATGAAATCTGTCAGGCTAATTATAAAACGATTCTTCTCTATGCCTTTAATGCCTAAAAAGCTTGGGTGGTTTAGTTCCAATTATGTGTAAAAGTAGTAAGTATGTGTTTTAATAAACTTGTCAGTAATGTGGGCTGGATTTCATATAGGTGGGAATAGGTAAGATTTTACTCTACAAAATAACTTGTTAATAAGGCTCAGTAATATGTACACCAGTTCAGAGAAACTACTCCTTTCTAAACTTCCTTGATTGTACATTTCTAGGTTCAGGAGTTGTGGTTTGAAGTGATTATAATAGGTTAGATGTCAGAAAGCCATTTGATTAGGAATTTGCATTTTAGATTTGCTGTTAGCCCTCTATTAGTATGATGGTTGGCCTCTGAAAATATACATTAGACTCCACAATTAGATTAATTATTAACTATAATTATATTCTGTGTGGCTCCCAGAACCCAAATGCTTCTCCGGCATCATCTCCCACCAGTCTTTCCTTTGCATGGTCTGTTCTGGGCAAAACAGCTGGTCCTTCTGTTGCTCCTGTAAACCACTAAAGGCCACACCTCTGCTTACAGCACCACTTCCTCTACTTCTGCTGGTCCCTCCCGAGAAGCCTCCCCTGGACATCTGGACATCTCCCTCTGAGTTCCATTCCAATCCCTGCGCAGGAGCCACCCTTGGTAAGTGTTTCTCTCTGTCATCTGAAAGTGGCCATTCTGCTTCCTCTTCCTCACCTTAATTTTCTGCATAGCAGTTATCATTTCTTTTGATAAATTAAAATTTACCAAATTTTAATTTTTAAAAAAGATTTATTCATTTGAAAGGCAGAATTACAGAGAGAGGGGAGAGAGAGAGAGAGAGAGAGAGAGAGAGATTTTTCCATCCGCTGGTTCATTCCCCAAATGGCTGCAACAGCCAGGGCTGGGCCAGGTCAAAGCCAGGAGCCAGGAGCTTCTTCTGGGTCTTCCATATGAGTGCAGAGGCCCAAGCATTTGGGCCATCTTCTGCTTTCCCAGGCGCATTAGCAGGGAGCAGGATATGAAGTGGAACAGCTGGGACTCTGCCCATACTGCAGATGAAACCTTAACCTGCTGCACCACAGTGCTGGTCCCCAAATTTTAATTTTGTCAGCTTCCTCCCACTAGAATATAAAAGTTCTGTGAGAACAAAGACTTTTGCCTGTTTTATTCATGCCAAACCGCTAGGACCCAACACAGTGGTAGATATTTACTAAGTACTTAAATAAGATTTGCTAAACAAATGAAGAAATGTCCAAGCATGTTCTTGTGCTTAGATATTCCTGTAACCTAGAGGCAATGAAACTTGGTAATTAAGGCACAAATTTAGGAATCAGAATTGGTTTTTAAATCACTTAGTAGCTAGTGTCACCATGGGCAATTTAAGCTGTTTGAGTCTGGGTTTCTTCATCTATAAATAAAAAATATTGATCTCATTTACTTCATAGAGTTCATGCAAGGATTACATTAAATAACAAACAATATATATAAAGGCTTGGCTGTGTGCTTACTGTGACGGGAAAACAGAAAACATTCACTAGATAGTAGTTACAGCATTCCAGGATAATACTATCACAGATAACTAAGTACAATTCAAATGGTTCTTTAAGAAAAAATAAAAAAGCCACTGAACTCCTAGCAACCATTCCTGTCCACCCCACCCCACCCCTCACCCTGGCCGTCACCCCTAACCATCATCAGAGGGTTCCTTAATGTTTCTTTCTCTCCAGTCCATCTCAAAATCTACCTGGGAGTCATCAGCATGACTTGAAGGGTGTTCATACAACTATCAGCTCTGAAAGTAATAGAAGTTGTTTGATGTATTTCAATTTCTCTTGTTGCTAGTAAATATTTTTTTTTCTTACTCTGGAATTCAAATAGGGCAAGTTGGGTTTTTTTGTTCTGCAAAAAATAAATTAGAATACCAAGAAAATTCTCTTCTTTTTAAAAAGATTTACTTACTAAAAAGGCAAAGTTACAGAGAGAGAAAGGGGAAGAAAGAGAGAGCTCTACCATCCAGTGGTTCACCACCCAAATAGCTGCAGGTCTCCCACATGGGTGCAGGGGCTCAGCCAAGGACTTGGGCCATCTTCCACAGCTTTCTCAGGAGCATTAGCAAGGAGCTGGATTGGAAGTGGAGCAGCCTGGACTCAAACCAGTGCTCATATGGGATCCTGGTGTCAGTGTCACCGGTGGCAGCTCAACCCACTGTGCCACAAGCCACATGCGTATAGGTTCTTAACTTTCTCACCCCCACCCCGCAGCCTGGGCCTTAGGCAATCATTGATCTGCTGTCAACATAGAGAGGCTTTGGGGCCGGCACTGTTGCACAGCAGGTTAACGCCCTAGCCTGAAGTGCCAGCATCCCGTATGGGCACTGGTTCAAGTCCCAGCTGCTCCACGTCCAATCCAGCTCTCTGCTAATGGCCCGGGAAAGCAGTAGAAGATGGCCCAAGTCCTTTGGCCCCTGCACCCATATGGGAGACCTGAAAGAGACTTCTGGCTCCTGGCTTCGGATCGGCACAGCTCCGCCACTGTGGTCTACTGGGGAGTGAACCAGCAGATGGAAGGCCTCTCTCTCTGCCTCTCCTATCTATGTGTAACTCTTTCAAATAAATAAATATTTTTTAAAAAATGGAGAGGCTTAATCTTTTTAAAAATGCCATGTAAATGGGATCCTGTGTCTGGATTGGTTTCATGTACATTGTTGAGCTATCAGCAGTTTCTTCTTCTTTTTTAGGAGATGTGTTCCATTGTAAGGATTCACCATAATGTGTTTAAGTCACCAGTTGATAAACATTGCAATTGTTTCCAGTTTGGGACTGTTATGAATAAGACTGCTATAAGCATTTGCCTCATGAACATTCATGTACAACTCATTTCTGTTGAGTAAATAACCAGTAGCAAAATTGCTGGATGTTATGGAGTGAATTGTGTCTCTCTCCCTACTCCAACTTCACATTTCAAAGCCCTGCCTCTCTCAGAATGTAACTATATTTAGAGATAAGGCCTTTGCAGAGTAAGCTAAGTTAAAAATGGGGCCACTAGGGTGGGCCCGAATCCAGTCTAACTGGTGTTCTTATACAGTAGAGAAAATTTGGATCTGATGTTTGTTTGTCAAGCAGAAATGTCAAGAAGACACCTGAGAAAGGCAGTGGAGAGGCCTTAGAAGGAACCAAAACCCGAAGATACCTTGACCTTGGACTTCAGAACCTGCAGAACCATAAATATAAATTGCATGGTTTAGCCCACTCAGCCTGCAGTGTTTGGAATGGCAACCCAAGCTACACACTGGATCCTACAGCAAGTGTAGTGTGCTTAGAAGAAACCAGTGTTCCGTTTTCCAAGTGGTTGTGCCATTTTACATTTCCACTAGCTACATGAAGATCTCCAATGGCTCATGTTCAAAACCATTTGATATTGTCAGTCTTTTTAATTTTAGACCTGAGTTAACTGGGTATGTAGTGGGGTGTTTCATTGTAGTTTTATTAAGCGTTTTCCTGATAACCAATGAACCTCTTTCATGTCATCTTCTTTTTACTGCCTCTTCATGTATCTTCTTTGGTTAACACTTTGTTAAATATTTTCTGTTTTTCCTTCCTATTTTTATTTTTAAGATCTATTTATTTATTTGAAAGGCAGAGTTACAGAGAGGGGTAGAGGAGAGAAAAAGATCTTTCATCTTCCATCCACTGGTTTCCTTCCCAAATGGCCACAACAGCCAACACCTGGGCCAGGCTGACGCCAGGAGGCTGCAACCACATCTGGGTCTCCCACGTGAGAAGGGAGGCTCAAGGTATTGGGCCCCCATCTGCCACTTTCCTAAGCCATTAGCAGGGAGCTGGATTGAAAGTGGAGCAGCCAAGACTTGAACCAAGGATGTAGGTGTGCAGGCGGTAGCTTAACCAGTTGTGCCACAACACTAGTCGCTTTACTTATTTCCTTACTGGGTTTATGGCTCATTGAGTTGTAGAAGTGCTCTCTCCATATATTAAGAATACAGTTGGGGCTGGCGCTGTGGCGCAGTGGGTTAAAGCCCTGGCCTGAAGCACTGGCATCCTAAATGGGCGCCGGTTCTAGTCCCGGCTGCTCCTCTTCTGATCCAGCTCTCTGCTCTGGCCTGGGAAAGCAGTAGATGATGGCCCAAGTCCTTGGGCCCCTGCACCCGTGTGGGAGACTGGGAGGAAACTCCTGGTCCTGGCTTCGGATTTGCGCAGTTCCTGCCGTTGAGGCCATCTGGGGAGTGAACCAGCAGATGGAAGACCTCTCTCTCTGTCTCTACCTCACACTCTTTTTTCAAATAAATAAAATAAATCTTAAAAAAAAAGAATACAATCATTTGTCAGAAGTATTGTGAATATTTTATTCCATTTTGTTTTTTGCCTTTTCTTTTTCATAATGGAAAGCAAACATTTTTAATTTGTGTGAATATTAGTGGCTTCCCCAGGATTTTTTGTTTTTAAAGATTTATTTTATTTACTTGAAAGAGTTACAGAGAAAAGTAGAGACACAGAGAGAGGTCTTCCATCTACTGGATCACTCCTCAAATGGCTGCAACGGCCAGAGCTGAGCCAATCCAAAGCCAGGAGCCAGAAGCTTCTTCCGGGTCTCCGTCTCCCATGTGGGTGCAGGAGGAGCTCAAGGACTTGGGCCATCTTCCACTGCTTTCCCAGGTGCATTAGCAGGGAATTGGATAGGAAGTGGACCAGCCAGGACTCAAACTGGTGCTGCAGGCTAGGGCTTTAAAAAAAAAACAACAGGTATTTTAAGCCCAAATTTTGGACTCCTGTGGCTTTGTAAGATCTGGTCCCAGCTCCTTTGTTTTGCAGTCACACTAGCCTTTTTTTTTTATGTTTTTATTTCATAATCATAACTTTTAACTCTGCAATTCCGCTAGACTTGGAGGGGAAGTAAGGAAAACACGGAACCAAAGACCGGCAGGGAGAGCACAATTCAGGGTGTCACGAGCAGATGGGGCGGAGGGCGCTCTCCTGAGCTAGAGGAATGGTCAGGTGGGTGAGATAAAACTCAGACGCATTAGAGTTGTCCACAGTTGGCAATGGTGATCTTCTTGCTGGTCTTGCCATTCTCGGACCCAAAGTGTTCCATGGCTTCCACCATGCCCATGCCCTCTTTCACTCTGCCAAAGACCACATGCTTGCCATCCAACCATTCAGTCTTGACAGTGCAGATGAAGAACTGGGAGCCGTTTGTGTTGGGCCCAGCATTTGCCATGGACAAGATGCCAGGACCTGTGTGCTTCAGCAGGAAGTTTTCATCCTCGAACTTCTCTCCATAGATGGACTTGCCGCCGGTGCCATTGTGGCGTGTGAAGTCACCACCTTGGCACATAAATCCTGGAATAATCCTGTGAAAGCAGGAACCCTTATAACCGAATCCTTTCTCTCTGGTGCTCAGAGCATGGAAGTTTTCTGCTGTCTTTGGAACTTTGTCTGCAAATAGCTCGAAGGAGACGCGGCCCAAAGGCTCGCCGTCGACGGCGATGTCAAAGAACACAGTGGGGTTGACCATGGCTGACGGAGAGCAGCTGCGGGCGACAACGGCGTCTGCAAAACCGCCTTTTTTTTTTTTTTTCTAAGATTTTATTTATTTATTTGAGAGAGAGAATTACAGACAGTGAGAGGGAGAGACAGAGAGAAAGGTCCTCTGGCGCTGTGGCTCACTTGGTTAATCCTCTGCCTGCAGTGCCGGCATCCCATATGGGTGCCAGGTTCTAGTCCTGGTTGCTCCTCTTCCAGTCCAGCTCTCTGCTGTGGCCCGGGAAGGCAGTGGAGGATGGCCCAAGTGCTTGGGCCCTGCACCCGCATGGGAGACCAGGGGGAGGCACCTAGCTCCTGGCTTCGGATTGGCACAGTGCGCTGGCCGTGTCGGCCATTTGGGGGGTGAACTAACGGAAGACCTTTCTCTCTGTCTCTCTCACTGTCTAACTCTGCCTAATAGAAAGAAAGAAAGAAAGAAAGAAAGAAAGAAAGAAAGAAAGAAAGAAAGAAAGAAAGAAAAGAAAAGAAAAAGAAAAGTCCTCCCTCCCTTGGTTCATTCCCCAAATGGCTGCAATGGCCGGAGCTATGCAGATCCAAAGCCAGGAGCCAGGTGCTTTCTCCCGGTCTCCCATGCGGGTGCAGGGGCCCAAGCACTTGGGCCATCCTCCACTGCTTTCCCAGGCTACAACAGATAGCTGGATGGGAAGTGGAGCAGCTGGGACCAGAACTGGCACCCATATGGGATGCCAGCACACTAGCCTTTTTTTTTTTTTTTTAAACTTTTACTTAATGAATATAAATTTCCAAAGTACAGCTTATGGATTACAATGGCTCCCCCCCCCCCCATAACTTCCCTCCCACCCGCAACCCTCCCATCTCCTGCTCCCTCTCCCCTTCCATTCACACCAAGATTCATTTTCAATTATCTTTATATACAGAAGATCAATTTAGCATATATTAAGTAAAGATTTCAACAGTTTGCACCCACACAGAAACACAAAGTGAAAAATACTGTTTGAGTACTAGTTATAGCATTAAATCACAATGTACAGCACATTAAGGACAGAGATCCTACATGAGGAGTTAAGTGCACAGTGACTTCTGTTGTTGACTTAACAAATTGACACTCTTGTTTATGGCATCAGTAATCACCCTAGGCTCTTGTCATGAGTTGCCAAGACTATGGAGGCCTTTTTTCACTGACTAATCATATTTAGACAAGGTCATAGTCAAAGTGGAAGTTCTCTCCTCCCTTCAGAGAAAGGTACCTCCTTCTTTGATGACCTGTTCTTTTCACTGGGATCTCACTCACAGATATCTTTCATTTATGTTTGTTCGTTTGTTTTGCCACAGTGTCTTGGCTTTCCATGCCTGAAATACTTTCATGGGCTTTTCAGCCGGATCCGAATGCCTTTAGGGCTGATTCTGAGGCCAGAGTGCTGTTTAGGACATCTGCCATTCTATGAGTCTGCTGTGTATCCCACTTCCCATGTTGGATAGTTCTCTCCCTTTTTTATTCTATCAGTTAATATTTGAAAACACTAGTCTTGTTTATGTGATCCCTTTGACTCTTAGTCCTATCATTATAATCAATTAGCACACTAGCCTTTTAATTCACTGAATGTTTTCTCCTATTCCAGGGAGGGAGGAAGGGAAGTATCATTGTTTTCTTAGAATTCTATGAACTTTGAATCTCTCTTTTACTATTTTTTTTTTTTTTTTTTTGACAGGCAGAGTGGACAGTGAGAGAGAGAGACAGAGAGAGAAAGGTCTTCCTTTTGCCATTGGTTCACCCTCCAATGGCCGCCGCTGCAGCCGGCGCACCGCGCTGATCCTGGCAGGAGCCAGGAGCCAGGTGCTTTTCCTGGTCTCCCATGGGGTGCAGGGCCCAAGCACCTGGGCCATCCTCCACTGCACTCCCTGGCCATAGCAGAGAGCTGGCCTGGAAGAGGGGCAACCGGGACAGAATCCGGCGCCCCAACCGGGACTAGAACCCGGTGTGCCGGCGCCGCAAGGTGGAGGATTATCTTTTACTATTAATATCACATTAACATGAGAATTGATGAGAACTGTGTTGTAGTAATTATCATGAGTTTGATGTGACTCTCAGAATATAATTATTCCTTAAAAAGAGGTGGGGGGAGGACTGATGTGGCATAGCGGATTAGCTGCTGCCTGAGACACCAGCATCCCATACGGGCACTGGTCCAAGTCCTGACTGCTCCACTTTCAATCCAGCTTCCTGCTAATCTGCCTGGGAAAGTAGTGGAAGATGGCCCAAGTGCTTGCACCCCTGTATGCAAATGGGTGGCCTGTATGGATGGGGTTCTTGGCTTTGGCCTGGCCTAGCCCCAGCCATTGTGGCCATTTGGAGAGTGAATCAGCAGTTGGAAGATCTGTCTGTCTCTCCTTCCCTCTAACTCTGCCTTTCAAATAAAATAAAGTAAATCTTAAAATAAACAAAATAAAAATTTTTAAAATTAGGGAAAAATATTAAGAGAATACTATTACCCTGCCAGGAACAATTCACATTTTATTCCCAAATTAACATTCGAATCTTTTAGGGCTCATGTTAAATCACATTCTCAGGGTAGCTTCCCAGGGTAGCTCCTGATAATCACAGCTTAAATGTCACATGTTTATAGGCCCCACTTTTTCTTCCATGACAATCATCACAATTCACTATCTCATATTTACAGGTAAGAGAGGGATTTCTATTTTTGCTTCTTGGTGAATATTGCATGTCCAACACTTTAAAGCACATTGCTTGGGGCTGGGTATTCAAAGCTGAGTCAGGAGATGCTCAGTTCTCTGAAGCTGAGGACATTTTTCTCAACTCCTCTCCAGTACACAAGATCATATGAACTTAGCAGAGTAGTTTCTAGCTACAGTTTCCCCAGAATTCTCAACCAAAAGAATCATTTTTCTCCAGTTTTATAAATCTCCCCTACGTTAATTCTACTTCCTATAATCTTTTTTTCTGATTTTTAAAAGATTTTATTTATTTATTTATTTATTTGAAGTTACAGAGAGAGAGAGTGACAGAGGAAAAGGTCTTCCAACTGTTGGTTCTCTCCAGAAGGCCACAACGGCCGGAGCTGTGCTGATTGGAAGCCAGGAGCCAGGAATTTCTTCAGGTCTTCCACGTGGATGCAGGTGCCTAATCACTTGGACCATCTTCTACTGCTTTTCCAGGTTATAGCAGAGAGCTGGATCAGAAGAGGAGTAGCTGGGTCTCGAACCGGTGCCCATATGGGATGCTGGCACCTCAGGCGGTGGCTTAGCCTAAGCCACAGTGCCAGCCCCTGGATTATTTATTACATCTTCCCCAATACTCTGACTTTTAAATATTAACTTGAACCAACATCTCAAGATTGAGAAAAATTTTTAATGGGACTAAATCCATTTCTGCAATTTTTTGGTAAAAGATTCACTTCCAGTTAAGGAGGAATTACATCATACTGCATTACAGCTTTATAGCTTGAGTTCAGTTCACTATAAAACTGCTCCTGTGTTTCAACAGACTTGTAAACAAACTTTTGGAAAACAAATTGTTCTTAAATATGAGTTATGTTCTGCATGTATTTTAACTTCAATTGGCAGCTTGTAAACATTTCTCTTTTAAAATTTTGGGGCCTGCATCATGTCACACTGGGTTAAGCTGCCGTCTGCAATGCTGGCATCTCATATGGGTGCCAGTTTGAGTCCTGGCTGCTCCACTTTGGATCCAGCTCCCTGCTGTGTCTGGGAAGGCAGTGCAGTGGAAAATGGCCCAAGGGCTTGGGACTTTGCCACCCACATGGGAGATCCAGATGGAGTTCCAGGCTCCTGCCTTGGCCTGGTCAAGCTCCACCATTGTGGCCATTTGAGTTAAAAAGTAGATGGAAGATCTCTCTCTTTCCATGTCTCTTATGCTCTCTGTAACTCGGTCTTTAAAACAAATAAAAAACTTAAATTATTTTATGGAAAGAATATACAGTAGTTAAATTTTTTCCTCCTAAAGTTTTTCAATAATTTAAAATGTTTTTAGACATTGTATAATAGATTTACTCTGTTTTAAAAAGTTAACCATCATGTTAGTGTGTCTTGAAATTTGTAAGGAAGACTCCTTGTTTTTTTTTTTTTTTTTTTTTTTTTTTAAGATTTTATTTATTCAAGAGGTAGAGTTACAGACAGTGAAAGAGAGACAGACAGAAAGGTCTTCCTTCAGCTGATTCACTCCCCAAATGGCCGAAATGGCCAGAGCTGCACAGATCTGAAGACAGGAGCCAGGAGCTTCCTCTGGGTCTCCCATGTGGGTGCAGGGGCCCAAGGACTTGGACCATCTTCTACTGCTTTCCCAGGCCACAGCAGAGAGCTGGACTGGAAGAGGAGCAGCCGGAACCAGAACTGGCGCCCACATGGGATGCTGTGCCAAGGCGGAGGATTAACCTATTGTGCCGCAGCGCTGGGCCCGACTACTTGTATTTTTAACCCACAGTTCGTAATAGAGTAAAACTCTCTTTTAAGGAAAGAAATACATGACTCCCAAAAGGTATGATTTTGTTACTTGGTATTTTCAAAAGGATGCCTTAGAAAGTAGTTATTTAAAATATGGTTGTCAGCCGGCGCTGTGGCTCACTAGGCTAATCCTCTGCCTAGCGGCGCCGGCACATCAGGTTCTAGTCCCGGTCGGGGCGCCAGATTCTGTCCCGGTTGCCCCTCTTCCAGGCCAGCTCTCTGCTGTGGCCAGGGAGTGCAGTGGAGGATGGCCCAAGTGCTTGGGTCCTGCACCCCATGGGAGACCAGGAGAAGCACCTGGCTCCTGCCTTCGGATCAGTGCAGTGCGCCAGCCGCAGCACGCTGGCCGTGGCGGCCATTGGAGGTGAACCAACGGCAAAGGAAGACCTTTCTCTCTCTCTCTCTCACTATCCACTTTGCCTGTAAAAAAAAAAAAAAAAAAAAAAAAAGGTTGTCTCACTTGATCCATAACTCCACATAGAAAATAGTATTTAGTATAGAAGTTCAGATGGATGGCAAATTAAGATCAAAACGTTGCTTGGAGAGTAGTTCATTTTATAATGGATGCTCCACTTTTCAAACAGGTGGTATTACTGGTACTTTTAAATATTATTGCTATACTTAGAAATAACCTTGGGGCCAGTGTTGTGGCATAACAGCTGGAGCTGCTGCCTGTGATGCCATCATGCCATACGGGCATTGGTTTGAGTCCCAGTTACTCCACTTCCAATCCAGCTTCCTGCTAATGACCTGGGAAAAGCAGTGGAAGATGGCTCAAGTGTTTTCGCGCCTGCACCCATGTGGGAGACCTGGATGAAGCTCCTGGCTCCTGGCTTCAGCCTGGCCCAGCCCTGGTTGTTGTGGCCATTTGGGAAGTAAACCAAAGGATGGAAGATCTCTTTCTCTCTGTCTCTTCCTCTCTGTACCTCTTTTAAATAAATTTTTTTAAAAAGAACTTTAATAATTTCATATCCTATTCAAATTTTCCTAGTTATATTTCAAAATATCTCAGACATATGTAAATAAAAAGGAAAAGTTCAACTTTAGGAAGAGAACAATTTAATTAATATTGATTTAACTTTCAATGATTGAGATAAGAAATCTAAAAAATTCTGAAATTGAAAACTTTATTTTTTAACTATATGACTCCAACTTTGTAATACAATGCAAAGCATGTGCGTGTACAGAAGACAGGCCGTCTACACAATCCTCCCACCCTCAAAGAATACAGGAAACACAAAAATGTTATAAAACAAGTTTATTCTGCAATACTTTATCATAATGAATTGCATTTCTTTGGTAAAAATAAACTTTATAAACATTTTAATAATCAGAGAGATTAGATACAAAAACTAAACATTTGTAAGTTGTTTTAATATAAGCAAAAAGACTGGCAAACTGAGAAGTGGTTCACTCGTGACTGGTCATCTACTGGCAGTTATTCAAACTCAGGATAATTTTTATGCTACAGCAGAAAAGAGGATAAGGAAACAGTTTAATAAGGAATTTCTTGAATCAGAAAGCATTCTTATACTTTCATTTAAAAATAAATAGTTACAGTGGATTGGCAATTACACATTTTTATACACTATATGATGGTAACATAATACTTTAAAATTAAGCACTTAGTTTAATAAGAAATATACAACAATTTTAAAAAACGTTTGACAATGGCACTGGCAGTTAGATGCAAAGAATGTGCTTTGAGAAAAAAATGGCAGGTACAACATTGAAATACTGTACTTTGCCTTTCAATAAATATTTTGACTACATCATTAACATACTTAAGTAAACTTTAAATCAAAGCTTACACATTTCAAACAAAATACTACAAAATATATGTAAACCAGAAAGCCTCAAAGTTTCTTAAGTAAATGCTAAAGTCTTCATAAAAGGGTGCTGAAGTTACTGTAGTATTTAAAGCAACAGTTTTTACAGCTTTGTGATGTATTCACATTTGTTTCTTAAATTATTGGGAAAGGCCTTCTGGTTTACTGATACAGGTATATCCCATCAACACTTTCACTAGATTTGAATTTGTGCTAATGAATATTTAACTGATCATCTAGTAAGAACCCTTTACATAATGCCTCAGAAAGCAAAAAATAAAAAAAATATAGATATACTAAGTTTTACCATATACAAAGGAATCTAAGTCAATAGGAGTCATTCTGGCTATAAGGACAGGAAAGGCTCAAAAGTGGAAAAAGGGAGGTGATACACCAAGTTAGCTTTCCTACAAATAAAAGTAATGTTTTCTTTTTCTGAATTTGAAAAGTAAAATATTGACTATAAGCAATATATTGCACAAACAAATTTTAAAAGTACATATTTAAGAAACACTGATTCTATATGGGATGTGAAAGATGAAGATTAATTGTGCTGAGATAAAACTTTTGCTAGGGTTATAAACCGGAATGAGTTGTAGCAAAATTAATAATACTTTAAGGCAAATTATTAAAATCACAGTTTAAAAATATGTCTAAAAATATTTAACCTCTCTGAGGTTTCCAAGTTGTTTATATTATAGTACAATTTGTTACTAATATTACCAGGAATACAATTTCCAGTCCATAGCATCTGGAATGACTTTTGTCGGTGGTTATGAGCCATGTTTCTATCTCAACACATTTGAGGAATGAGATCGCAATCCTCATGAAAGTAGTAACAGGGGACATAACATAAATGGTTCTTCCCCTTGAAAACAACTTGGTATATTAGCAGATGGCAAGTGATTCATTGAATTCTATACAAACTTAAGAGTAGAACTGAGAACATCTATGGCACAGAATTTCAGTAGGACAACAACAAAAAAAACTGGAACCAGATCATTGAAACACTGTTTCTAGGGTGTCTCCAGAGGGCCTAAGTATATAGCTTAAAAATATTTTTATTAAAGTGATTTTTGTAGTCTCTTTATACTATTTATACTGTGGTAAAAGCGCCATTTTTTTTTTGATGTTTTATTACTGTCCACAGTAAAAGGGGTCAACTTGGTTTACCCAATTTTTGTAGATGTGACATACAGGAAGAAGGAAAAAATCCAAATACCTCATCCTGCATTTCAACAATTACAAAATTATATTTCAACAGCACCAATTCTATTAACGTGGCTATCCAGATTCAATTACAAGTAACACAGAAACAGGACAAAGGTCATTAATGCTATTATCCCTGGATTAAAGTCTTATCAATTGAAAAAGATATTGTTGTTATCATTCTTCTCATTTGGCAGTTTTATCCTAAAAATTTTAAATTTAAAATAAAAATATCTGTCATTCTCTTTTAAAAAGCCAAGAAAATGTTTTATAGTCATGGAAAGAGCTGAAAGCAGCAAAGCAACACGACTTGTGCACACATGTGTGTATGTATGTGTATACATGTATATAAGTTAAGAGAAAAATGAAAACAAGGTCATTGTTTATGATATAGGGTATATTATGAGATAAGACTGAAGTTCTGGAAGTTGCTTCCACCATTGTTAAAAAAATATAATGAATACGTTTAGTTTATTAGTATCCCTTGTTCTTTATGAATAATATAGTCAAACTGTACAGATGGTATTATGAAAAACTGTCTTATAGAAGCAGATTTGTTCAAACACTTAAAATACTTGTCAATGTACTTTTGGAACAGTAATATAAAACTTTTTAGCATGGATTAATGGCAAATACGGGTATTACACTGCCTCCTCAGAAGGCTGTACTGTGGAAGATCTAATTTTACACAAATTTTGAATTCCATGAAAGTATTTTGTCTCCGCGGTTCTGTTACATCTCCTAAAATTTAATTTGGTATACACATAGTTTTAATCCATACAAAGCCTGGACAGAAGCTTTTCCTAAATAACCCAATCTTATTTATGATAACATTAAGCAATATGTATTCAAAATGTTTTATTATATTCTATTACTATCACAAGATTCTCAGAATGTAGTAAGAAGCAAGCAAACCAAAAAGTTTCTTATTGCAAAAGTGTGTCAAAATGGGTGTTTACTCCATAACACACTCTATGGCTATATCCTCTCATTGGATAATTTTTACTCAACAAAGACAGCTTGCGGCTACAATTTAAACAATGGTTGTAAAGAACTTTGGGAAGGACAAAAGACCCAATAAATGCTATGTGCTATCTGTGAAGTAAAAAAATCTCAAAGATCTATTGTAATAGGAATTGCAGTCTTCAATGAAATCACATCCCAAAATTGCCTTTTCTGAATCACAGAAATTTCTGTTGTATTTTCTACCTACAAAACCAAAAGGAACTTTCTTGACATCTAGGGTCTTTTTCAATTTATATTTGACTTTGTCATGTCACAACAAAAAATAAAACAGAAAAAATAAAAACCCCAAATTTTATCCTTTTGGATCATGTGTCAGGTGAAAAGTACATTGAAGAGATTTCAGCAAAAAGTTTAGCTGAATCAGTAACTATAGTTAAATACAGATTAAAAATTAAACAAGTTTTATAGAGTTGCCAAATCTTATATTTTGACATATTAACAGAAGAAAAGTTTTTTTCTACAAGTTTACAACAGAGGCTAAAGATTTTAAAATTTTCTTATATACAAATTTACTAATCTTGGAGACATTTATCACAAATATTATGCTTTTAGGACTTCATATATTTATGATTGGGCATGATCCTAACAGCAATTTCTTAATAAAAAATTAAAAAAAAACTCAAAAATGTTTTGAAAAAAAAAAAAGCAAAAACAAAAAACAACTAATTATCATCTTTCTCCTACCCTAAAACTAAAGAAGTCCATTATGGCTTTGATATCCCTTGTAAAGAATTATGTAGAAGAGTATTGCCACACTTTAAAATAATTTTACACTAACAAGTATTTCTATTTTTTCCGCTGCTTTTGATTTTGTGTCTTTGCAGTACTTATTAGGGAGCCAAGACATGTACGAATTCCAGCAAGGTGCAGCAGAGATCCAGCTGCCTCTTTGAGCTCCTCATCAATTTCTTGACATGACTGTTTTCGCATCTTTTTCCCTGGCTGCCCTTTTCCAGAGGTATCTGCACAAGCCTGTGATGCATAGCCACTGTCTCCAAGAGGATCATCTTCATAATCAACGTCTGTATCTTCTTCACTATGGAATCCTTCACTGCCATCACTTCCCACATGGCTATTCTTTGGGATAAATTCATATACCTCATCCACAGATGACAGGGAAGACACACTAGACCTGGATGCACAACGCTGTGCTGCCATGCTACTTGCACTGTAATTGTGATCTTCTTTTGGATCAATGCTGCTGGTTAAAGAATCACTCTCTTGTAATCGTCTAGCACTGGGATGATTAAATGCATTGCCATAACTCCTCTTTTTTTGCAGTGATGTCTTAAGAGGAAGGGGCTTCTCACCTGTGGGAAATAAACTTCTATCAATAGGTCAAATGCATCTGGTTGCAAAAATAGAAAATATAGGTGTTTTTCTTTAACCCAAAACATCATTCTATAGATATTAATCTGAAACAATTAAAAACTAATTTTTCTTTTAAACCTGTACAAACTGTTCATAATAATTTTATTTATAATAGCTTAAAACTGGGTATAATCAAAATGTTCCTCAATAAGTGATTACACAAACTGTGCTAAATACATACTTTGAAACATTTGTTATCAATAAAAAGTAACAAACTATTGATATATGAAACAGTTAGAACAATTCAACATTATGTTGAGCAAAAGAGCCAATATCTAAATCATTTCTTACATAATTTCATTAATATGACAAAACAGTTAGTGGTTGTGACCAGAGTGGGCGACATGGTGGGTTGATGTGTAACTACAAAAAGAATAGCAAGAGGGAGATCTCTGTGTTTGCAATTTACAATTAATTCAAAATTAAAAATAATAAAATACTGGATAATATGTAACATACTTTTAAATTGCTCTTTGAGAGGAAAACATCTACTAAACTCACATAACTTGAAAAAGAATAAGCCACTTTGCTCCATAATTTCTATTAGGACACACTTTGAAAAACTTGGCTGATGTTCACAATCTGCCAATTGAAAATTATACCATTACCATTGGTATGAAACAAAAGTAGACACAGTTGCTCCACATTAAAAAGTTGAAATTAGTATTTAAATTGTACCTACATTTAACTGCATTTTGCCTTTCTTTAAAGAGTAAATTAATTCTATAATTATGACTAAATCTAAATACATATAAACTTAATTCTAAGAAGTAAATCTCTCCAGGTTGCTTTACACTAAAATTTCATTTTTGGTAAGTAAAACATTTGCAATAGCAATAAAACAGCAATAAAATGAGCTAGAGGCTACCTAAAATGAATAGCTAAAAACTATTAAACAATATGTCTTGGCCTTTCCATGGAACATATAGTTATTCTTTTTTTTTTTTTTGACAGGCAGAGTGGACAGTGAGAGAGAGACAGAGAAAGGTCTTCCTTTGCCGTTGGTTCACCCTCCAATGGCAGCTGCGGCCGGTGCGCTGCTGCCGGCGCACCACGCTGATCCGAAGCCAGGAGCCAGGTGCTTTTCCTGGTCTCCCATGGGGTGCAGGGCCCAAGCACTTGGCCCATCCTCCACTGCCTTCCCGGGCCACAGCAGAGAGCTGGCCTGGAAGAGGGGCAACCGGGAAAGAATCCGGCGCCCCGACCGGGACTAGAACCCGGTGTGCCGGCACCGCTAGGTGGAGGATTAGCCTATTGAGCCGCGGCGCTGGCCGCAATATTGTTTCATTTTGCATTTCACCATTAACTAGAGAAGTTGCACAATCTTTTATGTGCATTGACTGTATATATTTCTTCTTTGGAGGCCCACCTATATACATGTTTTGCTGACTTTGCTGTTGAATTATTTTCTTATTTCTTACTTGTAGGATCCTTTGATATATAAAGAATATTAATCCTTTGTCTATTATATGTGGCTAAAAATATATCCTCCCAGTATTTTGTTCATGTCATTTTTGTTAAGGATATATTTTGTTAGAACTGTAAAATTTTAATGTTTTATTAAATTTATCCACCTTTTTCCTTTATGGATTTTACATTTCTTATTTTTTTCAAAAAATTTTTTATTTTTTATTATTTATTTGACAGGTAGAGTTATAGACAGAGAGAGAGACAGAAAGAAAGGTCTTCCTTCCATTGGTTCATCCCCCCAAATGGCCACCATGGCCAGCGCTGCGCCGATCTGAAGCCAGGAGCCAGGTGCTTTCTCCTGGTCTCCCATGTGGGTGCAGGGCCCAAGCACTTGGGCCATCCTCCACTGCAATCCCGGGCCACAGCAGAGAGCTGGACTGGAAAAGGAGCAACAGGGACTAGAACCTGGTGCCCATATGAGATGCCAGTGTCACAGGTAGAGGATTAACCAAGTGAGCCATGGTGCCGGCCCCTACATTTCATATCTTAAAGAAAGCTTTTCCTATTCCAAGCTGTAAATATACTTTCTTATATTTTCTTATTTACAGGCTTCATTATTCCTTTTAGCTCTTCAAACTTATTTTCTAAATAAGCTACTTATTTCTCTACTTCTTAGTCAATGTAAAAAAAATTCACATAGCATTAGCTTCAATTAATTTTTAATTGTTCATGTAAATTAATGGAAATAAAATGAAACAGAAACTGTTATTCAGATTAAAACATTAATTAATGGCAAATAAGTAATTTGTACCTCTAACATGTAAATATTTTATATTTTAAATTATATTTAAATACTCATAAAAATATATCCTAAAAAGCAATTGCGTAATTACTTACATTCTAAAATTCCTTGTTTTATAGAAGTATTTAAAAGCATCATTGCAGTGGCAGCATCAATATCAGATTCTGAAAAAAGGAAAAGAGAGGTAATATTAATGTTCTTTAAAAAAAAGAAGGCTAATCATTAAGTATTTGCATTCATCAAAGATAATCAGCTTTAAGACTATGGCGTATATTTTTCTACTTAAAAAAAGCATAAACATGTTAAATGTAAATCAAATGATATACAGATTTTGCAATGTGTTTACTGACTTAAAAGAAGGGAACAGTCTTGTGAATAATAATGGATAAACAAGAATGGAGAAGTACTAGGAATATTAATAATTCTCTTTATTCACAATGCAAACTCTGGGGCTGACGCCATGACGCAGTAGGTTAATCCTCCGCCTGTGGCGCCAGCATCCCATATGGCCGTGGGTTCTGGTCCTGGCTGCTCCTCTTCCAATCCAGCTCTCTCTGTGGCCTGGGAAAGCAGTAGAAGATGGCCCAAGTCCTTGGGCCCCTGCACCTGCGTGAGAGACCAAGAGGAAGCTCCTGGCTCCTGGCTTCGGATTGGTGCAGCTCCAGCTGTTGCAGCCATTTGGAGAGTGAGCCAACGGAGAAGACCTTTCTGTCTTTCTCTCATTGTCTGTGACTCTACCTCTCAACTAAATACATAAAATCTTTAAAAAAAAAAAGTTCTCTTTATTCACAATGAAAACCCCAAATTTTTTTGTTAAGAGGGCCTCGCCCCTTAAGCAAATTAAATTTAGCAAAGAAGGGGATGGGCATTACTATTTTCTTAGCTTTTTTTACTTGAAAAAAACAGCCTTTATTTCTTTTGCCATACCCGGCGGGTGATGTACTAATTGCATTAAATTAGGTGGCGGGTTATAAAACATACCGTATTTGGGTCATTTCTAGGGCAGCCAGAATCTATCAATTGCTGAAAGGAAAAATTTATTTGTAGGGAACAAAAAAACATTAGTAATGTTTTCAGTCATAATTACAAACAAACCTATAAGTACTACAGTTTTTTTTTTATTTTTTTTAATTTTTTGACAGGCAGAGTGGACAGTGAGAGAGAGAGAGAGACAGAGAGAAAGGTCTTCCTTTGCCGTTGGTTCACCTCCAATGGCCACCGCGCCGATCCGATGGCAGGAGCCAGGTGCTTTTCCTGGTCTCCCATGGGGTGCAGGGCCCAAGCACTTGGCCCATCCTCCACTGCACTCCCTGGCCACAGCAGAGAGCTGGCCTGGAAGAGGGGCAACCGGGACAGAATCTGGCGCCCCGACCGGGACCTGGCGGCGCCGGCACACCGGCTTCAGTGAGGCAGATGAGCATTGAGAGCCGAGTCCTCAGCCACTCACTTCCAGTTTTATCTCTTTTTTGTGAGGTCAAACATAATTACGGATATTTCATAAGAAAAATAAGCTGGGAGACCAGGAAAAGCACCTGGCTCCTGGCTCCTGCCATCGGATCAGCGCGGTGCGCCGGCCGTAGCGCGCCGGCCGCGGGGGCCATTGGAGGGTGAACCAACGGCAAAGGAAGACCTTTCTCTCTGTCTCTCTCTCACTGTCCACTCTGCCTGTCAAAAAAAAAAAAAAAAAAAAAATAAGCTTTAAAAGGCTAGTGAAACCAGCAGGTGCTACTACAAATAAAGTCATTATGCCCTCAAATTTATTTATATACTATGATAAGTTCTTCTCCATCTTGGTAATTTATTAAACTTACTTTACTTAAAGTAAAATGGTATAGTCTAAAGTTTGAGGCCAAAGTTATACAATGTTTATAAGTTTCAGCTCTTAAAGGATGAATTTAAAATAAAACTCAGACATGAAACCTCACATCCATACTTCAGAGTTGGAAATTTTTCTTACCATTAAGTTTTCCAGTTTACTTGCAATATCTAATTACAATATTACTGTAGATAATAAAGCCATGAAAATATTGACATGTTTTATCTCTTTCTCTCTCTTTTTTAAGGATTTTATTTATTTGAAAGGCAGAGTTACAGAGAAAGAGAGAGGGAGAGACCGAGATCTTCCACCCAATGGTTCACTCCCCAAATGATGCAACAGCTGGGGCTGGGCCTGGGCCAGCCTGAAGCAGGAGCCAGGAGCTTCTTCCAGGTCTCCTATGTGGGTGCAGGGGCCCAAGGACTTGGGTCATCTTCTGCTACTTTCCTAGGTATATTGGCAGGGAGCTGGATTGGAAGTGGTGCAGCTGGGACTTGAACTGGTGCCCATATAGGATGCTGGCGTTACAGGTGGTGGCTTTACCTGCTACGCCGCCACAGCACTAGCCCCGACATGTTTTCTATTGATCATAAATTCTAACATAGGAAATGTTGCTGATACTGACTTTAATAAACAGGCTTAAGTAAATTTAAGTCAGAAGATAGGTGCTATGAGAAAGCATACAATACAATAGCTCTTTTGTCCCAAATAAAATGTGACCTCATAGAACAATTATCTACACTAATGTTGTCCCAATTAGACTATCAACTTCTTTAGCATAGGAACCATGTCTTAGCTCTTGATAAATATGCCAAGAACAAGTATGTTACACGTTTATCCTCTATTCCTTAGATTAACTTGATTATCACCAAATTAAAAACTAACATCAAGTATTTCAGTGGACTTAGCATGTTCTAAGTCTGTATTAACATCCTCACAACCCTGCTGTGGGTACTGTTAATACTTTCATTTTAAATATTAGAAAACAGACACAGGGGGCCGGTGCCGCAGCTCACTAGGCTAATCCTCCGTCTTGCGGCGCTGGCACACCGGGTTCTAGTCCCGGTCGGGGCACCAGATTCTGTCCCGGTTGCCCCTCTTCCAGGCCAGCTCTCTGCTATGGCCCGGGAGTGCAGTGGAGGATGGGCCAAGTGCTTGGGCCCTGCACCCCATGGGAGACCAGGAAAAGCACCTGGCTCCTGGCTCCTGGCTCCTGCCATTGGATCAGCGTGGTGCGCCGGCCGCAGCGCGCCGGCCGCGGCGGCCATTGGAGGGTGAACCAATGGCAAAGGAAGACCTTTCTCTGTCTCTCTCTCTCACTGTCTACTCTGCCTGTCAAAAAAAAAAAAAAAAAAAAAAAGAAGAAAGAAAGAAAACAGACACAGAGGCATTTCTGGAAACAGAGGTTAAGATCTGAACCTCAACAATCTACCTCTAGAACTCAGGCCTTCAATTATTAGTCTATTACCATGTCTCAATGCTGACTAAGAATCTACAATTACAATGGGAAATTTTGGGGTCCGGTGCTATAGGGCAGTGGGTTAAGCTGCCATCTACAGCACCAGCATCCGATATGGGCACCAGTTTGAGTTCCAGTTCCTCCACTTCCATTCCAGCTCCCTGCTAATGCACCTGAGAAAGCAGAGGAGGTCAGTTCAAGTGCTTGGGCCCCTGCACTCATATGGGAGACTTAGAAGAAGCTCCTGCCTCCTGGCTTCCACCTTGCCCAGCCCTGGTCATTGTGGCCATTCGGTGAATGAGCCAGTGGATGGAAGATCTCTCCTCTCCCTCTCTCTCTCTCTCGTAACTCTTTCAAATAAATAAATCTTAAAAAAAAAAAAATGGGAAACTTTGTAGGAAATAACAGAATATATTGGAATTTCTTCACTGTGTTATTCATTCAATAAATCGAGTATTCTGTTATAAGCCTCTGCATCATTTCAGAAGGTACAAATATAGTAGAGGGGCCATGCTGTGGCACAGTGGGTTAATGCTCTGGCCTGAAGTGCCAGCATCCCATATGGGCGCTGGTTCGAGACCCAGCTGCTCCACTTCTGATTCAGCTCTCTGCTATGGCCTGGTAAAGCAGTGAAAGATGGCCCAAGTCCTTGGGCCCCTGCACCCACGTGGGAGACCTGGAGGAAGCTCCTGGCTCCTGGCTTCGGATTGGCACAGCTCCAGCTGTTGCGGCCAACTGGGGAGTGAACCATTGGATGGAAGACCTCTCTCTCTACCTCTCCTCTTTCTGTGTAACTCTGACTTTCAAATACATAAATAAATCTTAAAAAAATATAGTAGAAAAAAAAACAGAAATCTCTCTCAGAACACAGAGACTGGACCTCATAACTGACAAGGCCTTAAAGCCCACCAGATTATTATCAGGCCCCTTCTGTCAGTTTAATTTGCCTCTCAATTGCAGAACTTATTCGTGGCTTAACACTTTTCTTAGGTCCTCTAATAATGACTCTGTCCTTTGTTCTAGACCCTGTCTAGCCCACTTAGAGCCTCACTCCTTTGTAATCATAGCCTTTACTCTAACATCAATGGCTCTACTCCAGACGTGTGTGTATTGATGGTCCTCTCCTCCACTTAATGTTGTATTATTGTTCAGAATTTCTCTACTGACAAACTCCTCTACCTGCAAAAGATAAGTGGCCTTTCTCCCAGTCTAGGTTGAGATCAGCTTTAAACCACATCCACCAAACACTCTTCATAAGGGTCCAGAGACCCCCCTCATTTCCTCTCTTCTATGAAATCCTCTCCAGGGCCAGTGCTGTGGCACAGGTTAATCCTCTGTCTGTAGTGCTGGCATCTCATATGGGTACCGGTTCTAGTCCTGGTTGTCCCTCTTCGGATCCAGCTCTCTGCTATGGCCTGGAAAGGCAGTGGAAGATGGCCCAGTGCTTGGGCCCCTGCACCCACATGGGAGACCAGGAAGAAGCACCTGGCTTCTGGCTTCGAATCGGCTCAGCTCTGGCCATTGTGGGCATCTGGGGAGTGAACCAATGGAGGGAAGACCTTTCTCTATGTCTCTCCCTCTCACTGTCTGTAATTCTGCCTCTCAAATGGATAAAAAAAAAAAAAAAAAAAGAAATCCTCTTATTACTTGGTTAATGCCACTACTAGGACCAAAGGTTGCTATTCTTACCTTGTCTTTGGTACTACCAAGTCTGTATAAGTGTTTACAGGAGGAAGTAATGGAACAAACCAAGGCCTTTATCAACCAGGCGGTCAACCAAATGCTGCTACAGGGATATACTCGGCTCCCCACCCAAGAGACAGCGACTTTAGACATTGGCCCATGCCAGTAGAGAGTACCTCATCACCCCATATCAGCAGGAAGTAGCT